AAGAAATGCGGAAATATTTTAGCAAATGGTGGTATGTCTCGAGATTAAGTGGGTTTTAAAAACCATTTCCATTTTAATGTCTGCAGATTGCACTGCTCCTGTCACTAATATACTCATGCCCTGAGCAGTCTGCATCTAATTAGTGTTGTTATTTATCTGTTACTGCCAAATCTGTGCATTTAGTGGACAAGTCTGAAATTTGCCATTATAAATCCACATGAACGGTTCAGTGTCATCCTGAACTACATTTCCATTGCCATTTACCTCTTTTATTGACAATAAACAGCATTCAATGTCCAGTCTATGAGAAAGCAAGAGAAACAATTTGGTTTCTTGATGTTTTTTCTTGTTAAATTAATGTCTGCTTACTAACACTCTGTTGGAACAACTAGGTGATACATGGGACAGTGTTTATTCAAATAAGAACTTCCTATACATTTTAATAGGCAATTTACATGTGATGCCCAACAAGGTAAAGGAAATGCATTTATCTGTCATATCTGGCATAATTAAAATATGCATAAATCTTTCCCAGGGTTAGGATGATTGTACCTAAATGCTTCCTTGCTTCCCTAGTGACAATATGGCTTTCTTATATTTACTTTCCTCTTTGTCTTAAGACTATGAACAAAAGATCAACTGGAAACAAAACAGTTTCTTTGGGGTTTTGGCATTGACCTTGTAGACCCATGAGTGCTGCAATTAAAAGTGAAGGGGGATTTTTTTGGAAGTAAGGCCAGATTTTTGATCTTCATCCAAGTCCAATATGTCATCACACATGAACAGGAGAGGTTAAAAGGGCAAATTTTTAAGCATAGGACTGTGCAACTGCTGCCTAATCTGTATACCCACAGTTTTCATAGTGAACACACAAATTTGGCAACTATGCACTCAACTGGCTCCTTGCAGGTTTGAAATTTTAACATATATGCTTAAAGTATAAATAGTCAGATGACTAAATTGCTATACTCACCTTTGTAGCAGTTACAGCTGAAATTAATGGTATTTTCCTAAATATAGCTAAATGAAAACATTTGAACTTTTATGCATAAATGAGATTTACAATTAGACAAAAACATTTTTGTTTGTTTCACAAAGAGATGGAAGGATATACTAAAAAGACTGGCAAACATTTTCTAATCTTAACAGCCATCATCAATTTTATTTTATAACAACTTTGACATTCTAAGGATTCTTTTCTTAGGCACTTTTACTGCAACTAAAATTGATTATCTATCTTCTGGGATGATATCCCCAGAAGGCAAAAACTGGTGAGTTCCCTGTGAGCATTGCTAAAGAACATTAGTTTGCACACTAATATTCAAAAATGGCTAGAATATTGGGGTGATACTTCATAAAACTACAGGCAGCACTGAGACATTTATATAGTGTTAAACTTCAAGTTTGATGTCTAATCAGAAACTCAACTTTGAGCAGCACAACACCTTTAAAGCCCATACCAAGTACGTCTGTCATTAGTATAGTTCTGACTCACAGAAAGAGTGAGTTGAGACTGATAAAGGAAAAATATTTCTCTTTAGCAATTAATTACTTTCAATGTTGAGGCTGTGATAGATATGATATCGTCTATGATATAAGTTTTCAGAAGTAATGGGGTTTGTTTTTTATTAGGTTTTTTGCTATAAAAAGGAATAGCTTACTGGAAAATATGAAACCATTTCAGATTTTTCAAAAAATCACAGTTTTTCTCTCTTGTTGACAGTGCTTAGAAAATGTGGGTTGACTTGTTTTTGATTGCTGTTTAAATAACAGATTAATTTAATAATCATTGGGATATTGAATAACAACAAATTATGGGGTGGGACAGCCAAACCCTGACCCTAATGACATTCTTATGTTAATTCTTATTTTCTCTTAGGCTCCTGCTTTCTTAATAAAACCTATATTTTTGAAAATCGTTTTTAAACGTTGCAATTTATCCCATAGTTGTTTGCTTGTAAGAGATAAGTTTACATATAGGGAGTGCATTTTATATGTCTGTATATATTTATTGCCTGACTCAAAGCCTGCTTATGTGTATAGGTGTCCTTCCATTGAATGAGTTCCCAGAGATGGCTGTAAACATGAGCCAGTTATTTAAAAAGTAATTAGCAGGTAGTCCTTTCTACTGTGTGATTTATTTTAGCATATTTCAATATACAAGTACCCATGATTGAATTTATGATTGGAAATGTTTATGAATTTTCATTACTGCAGTTGGTAACTGTCCCTCTGTGCCGGGAAGAGTATTTCTACAAGATCAGTGACAGCACACCCATGACAGAATAAAACTGAGCCTCTGCCCCTCACCCTGTGACCTTGCTGGCTATGACTGTGACTTTGTTAGCAAAACCACAGTATTTGTGCCCAAAATGTCTTATCTGAGTAACATTATATGGTTTCAATTAACATCAGTCATCATTTTTACTTCTACTAAGAGACTGTTTTTAGTCTCCTTTTTCAGACAAGGGCTCTACAGTCATGCCTGGCACTGCAGGAACAAAAGCCAGGGACTGGGGTATCTCTTGACACAAACTTGCCTAAAGCAGAGTATTTGCACAACTTTTATCTGCAAACATCTTCACAATATGCTGATTTTTCTAATGTCTTTCAAGTAGTTTTTCAGTATTCCACAGGATGCATAATCAGGTAAATATTTACAATTATCTTCTATTTGCAATAAATATTTGCAATTATGTGTCACAGATTAACCTCCAACATGATCCAAGGAGGACACATTAAATAATCCCACAGGCTCCAAGTGATGCTGCACAGGTTAAGCACCAGCACAGTGTCAGCTCCAGACTTACTGCTTTAAAGATTGCATCTGAATTCTGACTGATTGAGCCCACCATTCTTAAATTACAAATATTAAGCAATACACTTGCTTGTAAAAATATTTATTGGTACTGAGGCTATGAAACAGAAAACTGGGTCAGAAGATGTAGGTCTACAAAGGACTCTGGGTCAAATTCCTTTGCTGTTCTGCGGGAAAGTGTCCTGGGTTATAACAAAAATATTTGGAATCCAATGCAGTCTGCAATCTTAGATGCAATTTGTAGATTGTTAATGACAGTGGGTAAATGGTATAACGAACAAGTTTCCCATGAGAATCTAATAGTTCTTCTGGATTATTTCTTTAGGTTTTGCCATTGCTTGTGGAGAAAAATAATGGGTGCCTTGAGATCAGTTTGCAACTTACAGGGTTTTCTTTTATTTTTTTTTCCACTGTGGAACACAAAATGTTTTTCTATGAAAAAGATCTTAGTGCATTATTTTTGAAATACTATAATTTTCACTAAACTCAGTTTCCAACTTGGTGCATTCCAAGTATTGCAGAATTGTATTATTTTTGAAACTTATTTCCTTTGACCTGAAGTTACCTAGGAACACAGACTAAAATCTGCATTCCTTTGAGAAAACCTAGTCCTGTTAAATTAATCTTCTTTGCATGGAATCATGTCTGTTTGCAATATTTAAACAGAATCATACAATGGTTAGGGTTTGAAGGGACCTTAAAAACCATCTGGTTCCAGCCCCCCTGCCATGGCAGGGACACCTTCCACTAGATCAGGTGCTGGAAACTCCATCCAACCTGGCCTGGAACACCTCCAGGATAATTTGATAATTTGTTGCACAACGTCTCAGTAACCTTCTGTTAAATTATCACAAAATAAGGCTGCTTAAATTCTACAATGCTGGCACAAAGCACTCACAGCAGTGTAACCTTCATTGTATTCGACATGTCAAGTGGAAAAATCATGGCTTGATTTTGTTGAGTTTGTACTTTTCAGGCAGTGGGACCCATTGTTGCACTTAAAGGGTTCCAGAGCATCAATTTACAAAGCACTCTCATACTTCTATTCCACAAAGCCATATAAAACCAATTATTCATACTAGACATTAACAATTTCCTTCTACTTAAAAGTTGGTCAGTAGCAAATGAAAAGTGAATATTAGCACTTAAAATTTATCTGCAGTGTACTTACTCCTGTTTCCTGTTTTAAAGTAATGAAAATATCAAGGAGAAAATTTAGGAGTAAGTCCAGAAGCACACCTATTGATTTCAAAGTCAAGTTTTCACCTTTATTTGCTAATTGCATATTGATTTAGCCTGGAAAGGAAGAGCTGTAACAATTTTTGTTTAACTTATAAATTCTTCCTGACGTTTATATTGATAGACAAATTATTGCTGTAAATACTAATCTCCCTGGTGATGACAACCTCTCAGCATAATGGAAATCCAATTAAGAGACTTATCAAAGTACATAAATTTGCATAAGCAATATCTATGCAATTTCACAATTAAAATGTACCAGTGCTACAGTCAAAATGTCACAGCACAAATGCAGATAAAACATATTTTCAGCATGAAAGAGGAAAGCTAGACTGAAATCTTCCTCTTCTTTTAGCTCTATAAGGGACAAGTTTACAGGAGCACTGGTAGAAATGACATTACAGCACTGTCATGTGAGATTTGTTATTATTAACTCAGCTTCCCAGCACTGAAAGTTTGGAGAATAGATTTAATCGTCTCCCACTCTTTCAGACTAGCAGTTCTAAGAAGGAAACTCTGCTTGGCATTCCAGTAAAACAACCAGATCTCACTGTACCACAAGGGAATTCCTAACCTATCCAGCAGGGTTTCACTCCTGGACAGGAGACTGAACAGCACTTACCTTTTGAATCTAAATCTTACAGCCTATGCCCTCAGAATGCTGCCTGAGTTTAGGAAAAGAATTAAAACATTCTATTTGAAATTAACATAAACCTCTACCACTCTGACATTTTTTTTTGGTTGAAAGTAATAGGCACAGCTTTCATTTAAGAGCATCAAAGTTTTAAGTGACCCCTGTAAGAGGAGAAATGACACCTTGACAGAGGTCAGCACATAGGATAAAATACAACAGACTCATACATTCTTCAACACAGCCTTGAATAATTCAGTTTTATTGCTTTGTCACAAACAGTTGTATTAAAAAAAAATGGAAAGGGCTTACTTGAAACAGTCATCGCAAGCAATATTCCCCGTGGTCTCCTTTATAGTGCGCTCGGAAACAAAGGCTGGATACTCTGTGTCACAGGGCTCCAGGGTTTGTTTCAACCTCTGCGCTATAGGCACAGGAAAAAACATCTTGATGTTAACATGAGAAGAACAGCACACAAAATTGTGAACAACATGAGATGCTGTGTTACAGAGCTCGCAGAGAACGGAAATGTTACTCAGCTTCTGCCACCCTGTGAGATTTCCTAGGCAGTGCATAACACTATTTTTTCAATTAAATTAAAAAAAAAAAGTTTATCCATGGAATGTAATTTTGCAAGACATCGCTGTTAAAGTAGTTATTAATGGTTTAGCCATTGCCAACCTACTTTACATTTATGCACGGGTTTTTATTCTTTCTGTGTAGATCCAAGATGGTTTTACTGTCACTTTTATCTCAGTGGTGCTGTGCATCACTAACCTTTATTCATGGGAGTTTACATTTATTTGGTATGTAAATTGTGGTATATTTTACTGAAGCCAAAACATCTCTTTTATATTACAGCTTGGAAATCTTTGTAGGGTTTCATCAGTTAAAATAACTCTGTGGGTGGGAGAGGCAGAAGAGTTACTTTACCCAACAGCAATGCTTGTTATCTGCTTCCCAAAATAGTATTAATTAAGACTTCATAGCACCTTTAATCTGAAATCTTTGCAATGCAGGGAAAAAGTGTCACTATTTCCATCCTAAAGATTGGGAAACTGAGTTTCCGGGAAGCAGTGGGGCTGGTTCAAGGTCAAACTACAGGACAGCTGCTCTTCTGGCTCTCACACTGAAGTTTCTGTCACACAAATGTTTCTCTCTCATTCCCTTTCTTTTTCCTCCCCACCCCTTCATTGCTCCTTAACACAGAGATACACTTTGCACATCAGCACAAATGTTAGCCCTATCTTAAACTAATTGCTAAGTGGGAAAACAAGATGAGGTATGACAAAAATAGATTACACAGAACAGGCTCTTGGGCTTGACAGACCTTCCCTGGAGATGATCTGTTTCAGAGTGAGTGGTGCATCCACTGAGCAGTGCCAGGGGAGCCACCACATCTGCATTTCCAATCACACCAGAGCAGGCATTTCTGAACTGCTCACAGTTGTTGTATATGATAAAAACCCAAAAATTATTCCATCAAATGCACAGATCTCAAAGGACGTACTAAAGCTGGTCACAAAAGTTTTATTTCTGATGTTTTCACTATGGTTGTGAGATGTTTAATAGTTCATTATTTTTTTAGAAAATTGTCTTACTAGCTCTACTGCACCTCTCCCCTTCTCTTCTGCTCTCCTTATCTGTTGTCAGGAATAGCTGGAGTTTATCACCTGTGTTTTGAGTCTATCCTCACTTGTATCAACATAAGGCTTGTGTAACAAAGAGGCTGAAAAGATCCCTTGGTCTCACATTTCCTGCACCTCACTAGACTCCAGAAGATGATGGGATTGCCCAAGGTTTAGGGGTTCTTCTCTCTCATTTACAAATGTGATTGCAATTACAAGATCTTGTGCAGAAGTATTTTTCATAGCAGGGTTTCCCAAGGAGCAGGTGTGTGTGGACCCTCCAGCATCTTCACAGTATATCACATTCCACTCATGTCAGAGTTTGAGTGGGAAGCAATTTCTCCTCTCAAGGAACTGATATTTTGGGGTTTTTTTTGTTTGTTTTTTTTTTTTTCCTGAGCTTTGGTAAACATTGTTAAGTAAAAAATAAATGTGCAAGTTTATTATTTTTAATTACATGAAGTACAGTCATAAATATGACAACTCTTAGTAGTAACATAGCATTTACAGAAGACAACATCTAAGCACATGCTTTTCACTTCTGCTGTCTTGTGAAATATCTTCTGCTTTTTCTTCCTAAAATATGCAGCTTCCAAACAACCATCCCTTGCTACCTAACCAGATATGAGCTGGGCAAGCACTACTCTGGAAGTACTGAGATTTCAATGAGCACGTTGAGGGGGTATTTCCAATACTTTTAACTCATCAAAGAAATGGAGCAAGTGACTTGTGAAATTAAAACTTCACTGTCAACTAAACCATGAATGGAAATTTCTCAATAATACTGATCCATCAAAGTGCTGCACTGATAGTTTTGTTTCAAATAAAAGGAAGTTTGAAAGTTGTTATTGCCTCTTCTGTAATGATTGCACTCTCAAAATACAACTCAGACATTCATTTTCATGGATGAAGAAGGTTGTTGTGTTTGAATAATATTTTCTGTAGTATACAATGCAAGTTCCACTGGATGTTTCATGTCAGGATATATGAAGGCATGTTTGTACAGTACACTGGAAAAAAATATTTATTTCCTACACTGGCTGCTTTGGCTGCTCTGCAATCACCAAGGACTAGGAGAGGCACAGCTGCCATTCCTCAAGGAACAGTTTTGCATTTTCTGGGTCTAGCACAGCAAACCTGGCTGTCCTTCACAGCCTCAGTGTTGGAGATGGTTCTCTTCATGCTTAGGGAAATCACTGAACAGTTGGTCTTGGATTTTAGGGGCCTGACTGATATTTTAGCTTCAGACAGGATATTATTTTGGCATAAAGACAGCCTAGTATCCAGGCAATGCAAACATTAAATGAAGCCTAAGCAGCAATTTTATCCCCTGCTTTGCTAAGAAATATGCAAATATGAAGCGGAAGAATTCAGTTTAAATTCTTACACCAGTCAATGACACGCAGCACAATTTGCCTATTAAATTGTCACTTGAAGAGCACTGCTCTTGTAAAGTGGCCCTTTACTTTTGAGCAACACTTCTAAAAATGCCATAAAAAGTCTGTTGAAATATAGAAAGACAGCTTACACTGAAAACTTCCCATTCTTAGTGGAACTATTAAAAATTCCATTATTTTAAATGAAGCTTCTGCATTTAAAAAAAAATATTTTGAATAAATTGAATTTTAATACATTTAAATGTCTGTTTTGAATGGAAAGATAAAAGAGAATAAAGATCAGCCCTTTTAAGCATAAAATCCACTATCTAAAGCTTTAAAAATTAGTTTTGTATGAAATAAGATAGATGGTCATATTTCTGTACACTTTTGAAATGGCATTTTCCAGCACAATAACTCCACTACATTTTATGGCAGCTCTAGGAAAAAAAAAAAAAGTTGTATAACTAAAACAGTGTAATTGCTTTATTCACAAAGATTTTTTTTTTGAATGAAGAGAAATGCTTTTTAAAAAACATATTTAATCATTATCTACTATTTTAACATTTCTGTTGTAGTGGTGTACTGTGTTCCTAGAGTGCACACAAACACTTAGTGTTTATTCACAGAAGATCTTAATTCTCTTGTTTTAGGAAACATTAACAAAGAAAAGAATGCTGGCTTGGGAGGAAAACTGTTATCAGATGTTTATTATTTAATCTAAAACAGTGTACACACATCTGAATTTCAAAAGTTCAAATTACTCTAGATATTTCTGCCATTATGCCAGGAAAAAAATCACACTTACCTTTAGCTGTTAGATCAGAGTGCCACCAACTGCATAGATTAAATTCCACAAGGAACCTGGAGAAATTATTAGAGTTTTCACATTACCCCACAGAATATTTTCCAAATACTAAACTGGCAGTAGCTTGATAACGTTAATCCTATTTTAAATAAAAGCTAACAGAGAACTGAAATTCAAGTTACTGGCATAACTCTGGGATTAGCACCTACTGCTATTCTCATATTTTTACTGTTTTTGGTTGCTTTTTTTTTTTTTACTTCTGAAAACTTATTCTGAAATTAACCCCATCAATAAATCATAGATTTACCCATTTTTAATTTAAAATATTGATTGTATTTGGAGTGTCCATTAAAACTCTCAAAGCATGGCAGCACTCACTGTTTTTGCTGTTGAACATTATTTCTTCACGTGTGTATTTTGACTCTAGTAAAATGGCATGGGATTATAACTGTCTGGCTACCACACAGGAGCACACATAAAATAGTTTCTTTTATTAATTGTCAAATTGAAATAATAAAGCTGTTTTATTTTGAAGAGCAGAAGAGATTAACCACTAACTAAAATCAACCCTAACTAAAATGTGAAGAACACTAAAATACACCATGATTTACTTAGAAGAATGGATTGAAAAGTATCAGCCAATCAGTTGTTGTAAAGTTAAGAATGTGAAACCAACATCCAGCTCATTTATGCCCATGAATCTACAATACTTATAAAGATAGAAGGTTTCTTAACATTTTCAAAGCTGTGAAATGTAGCATCAGTCTCATTTTAACACAATTTCTTTCCCTCTTAATTCACTTAGAAAGCTGCATGTCAGATCAATCTCTGCCCCCTGGCAGCAGCCATTCATTTAATTCTCCTTAACAGTATCCTGAACTTTGAAAAAAGCTCATACAATTTCCAATTAAAGAAAATGACTACAAGAAAAAAATCAGTTCTGTGTCAGTAAAGATAAAATTCACTCATATCTGCAGCTCTGTTTTCAGATAAGAAGAATAAAAATCATATAACTTAATAGCACAACACATTTTAAGGCTTCCTCTTCTCCATGTGACATTGCTATTTCTTAGGCACCTTCTCTTAAAGATGATGATTATTACGAATTAAACTGGGAATTTTAGAAGAATTAATGGGGATTGAAAAATTCAGCAACATCCAAGTACACCTTATCTGGCACTGCAATGGGTCCTTCTTACAGAATTTTATGAAGTGACAAAGCACACAGTGAGTCAGGGCAACAAGTTTCTCTTCTGACATCAGCCCACCCAAGCAGCATCACAAACAGCCAGAGATGTATCTAAAATTTAACAGTAACCACAGAAAGAAATTTGGGTTGTGTATTGTGATCTGCTAAATAAAGCCATGCAGATATAAGTGAAGACCATGAGTGTGATAAAAGTGAAAGTGCATTCATACATCCAAAATCCTCTCAGATTTCAAAAATGCAAAATTGGAAAAAAAAATTACAAATATTACTATATTTAAAATCATCCAAGAAAAGCAGCACAATACACTTAAAATGCAAAAAGTACAAATATTAATATTCAAAACTACCAATATTTAGTAATTCATAGAAATATTTGTTACATTCTTGATGAAATCTACTTACAAGACAAGTTCAGTCATAATCCACTTTACTGCAGCAAAGAAGGCATTATAAGGCTGGAGAGAAGAAGCTCATTTAATAAAAAATCAAAACATGCAGCATTTATATCTTAACTGAACTCTTCATGTAAAAACAATCCTTTGGATATTCAAATGTATATGGAGTATAAAAAAACCCTTTTTTAATGATCAAAAATATTATTATACTGATTATTAAAATGCATAAGTAATGAATTTTCCTTTTTATCATATTTGGTCATATACACAGATTATCAGTGGGAAAAGGAAAGTTTTTTGCAAATGATTCTTAAATCTTTAACCTCTAGGGGTTCCTATTTCCCAGGCTATTGCTGGAGGAACAGCTCAGGCAGATAAAATGAGCTTTTCTTGGGCTGCATTCACAGCCTTGCCTCTCTATAATGCAAATCTCTATTCATTACCTCAGCCTCATTAGGCTCAGAAAAGCCTGAATTTACCTAAATGTTTATCTGTGTCATTTGACAGTCCAGTTATAAGCACTGTAAGAAGTTTTCTCCCCTCCTCCCTCTGTTTTTCTGAATCATAACAAATACAGCAAATCCTTTGAAAATCCTCTGTTGACAGTACTTCTAATACATTCTGAATATTTTATTTTTGAAAAGACTATTAATAGGATTAATTTTTCATGAAAAAAAAGCCAGGCAGAAAAGTCAGCTTCCAGAATTTGGAATTTCATCTCCCTCATCTTTGTTAGGATGTCCTAGTTGCATAAAATTCTGCCGACTCTGTTAGATGCAAACAGAGCATTTTAACAAATAGAAATCATAATGACAGAACTCCTCTAATATCTAAAATCATGCGTAACCACCCCAAACCAGCACTCACTGCAGCAGTGCTGTTTGGCAGAGCAGAAACAGGACACGTTAGAAGGGAATTTAAATAAAATTTTCAGGGGGCACAGAGAAAGTTTCTGTGCAGGGCTGAGGATTCACAGACCCAAAGAACCCACGGAAGGCTGAGATCTCAACCCAGCAGAATGCAAAATGTCTGAGACAGGAAAGATTTTCACCTGTGAAGCCCTGTCTTATAGGAAAAGATAAAGAACTACAAGACTTTCCTGGAGATGAAAGAAAAAAAGTGTCAGCCCTGTGGGACATCTTATTTCTTTTCATTCCAAATCAAAAACCCTGAAAATTCATGCCCAAGATTTTAAATTTGCTTTATACTTTTGTTTTCATAATGCCAAATGTCATGTAAAACAATGTATTCGTTATTACTTATGAAGAATACTTATTTAGTGTGAAATATACCATATGTTTTAGTAACTATTCTAATACTAGAAATTAATTAAAATTTCAAACCCCACTATATCTATAAAAATTCATTAATGTCTACAATAAATGAAAAAAAATATTTTTTTTAAATTCTGGTGGGAAAAAATGTAATTACATTGATATAAATGCATTCTCATGAAATGTGATTTTACTTGAGAGCTTTCTCCACTCACAGACAGTTCCTTTAAAAATTGCAACAAAAACTGCAGGAGTTTTATTCTCTCTTCATATTTAAAGCACCATTGAGAGCCAAAATAATTTCGTTCTGTGGCTCAGTGGCACTGCTACATTTGCAACAAAGTGGTTCCATAGAGAATCATGTGGGTCTTGCAGCAATTAAAACAAAAGAACATTACAATTAAAACAAAAGTATCTGGAGAGCTGTTAAGAAGCAATATTATTCTGATAAAGAAAGGGACCAGGTGATCTGTAAGTCTAGTCCATCCTTAATTTATCACCCCACTCCCTCAGTCTAAAAGGCTGGGATAGAGTCTCTGATGCCTCTTCTCCATGTCTGTGCTCTTTAAAATAGGAACTTTTTAGGGAGTTTCCATCTCTCTTGGAGTTTATAGAGCTTAACTATCTTTCAATAAAAAAAATCCTTGACATGTCTCAGTGTGTGCCATAAGAGATGCAGGAGTTTTTTTTCCTGGATATCCTGGAAATTTTTGGAATAATAAAAAAATATAATTTTGGATTAGAGCCCACTTTTTAAGGAATAATGCTTCAGCTCTACTTGCTGAGTGCTTAGGCAAACTGAACTGAAGTCCCGAGGCTTTGGATAGAAGGTTTTTGTTAAGAGTTGAAATATATTTTAAGATATTTCATGCAAATGTGTTTCACAGCAGCCTGTTCTATTTCATTAATAGTTTAGGTCTCATTGCAGTCTAGTATTTATGGTGGGAAGATGGTATTTTTTTCAGGTTCAGACTTTAGTGGATAACAAACTGATAAATGCTGTACATCCAGGCATATGGAAAACAGAATCATGTAAATATGTAAATGAAAACATCCCCAATTATGCAAAATATTAAAGTTTGGTTTTGTTTTATCTCTAGTTAGATCTATATTTTTCTAGTTAGATATGCATTTAAAAATAAATAGTATCAGGTAACATTTCCAGACTGACAAAATTGCCAGTGTTTCGCTCTTTACATAAGAATTTTTTCATGCTATTACTGTCCTCTATTCATGAAAACCTTTAATCCTTTTTAATATGAAAAACCTCTGTCTAACACCTAATCAGTTCTGATAGATTATTACCTCAATCAGTAAAATGGATACATGGTCACAAAGTATCCTTGGGGTATTACCCTGATAGAGGATTTAGCAATAAGGAAGTGCTGCCTTAGCAAGACCCAGATTGTTTCTAATCCAGCCTAGCAGAGCGACAGGGTTTGTACTCAAATTGCAACAAGGGTTAAAATGCCTGAAATTCTATTTAAAAGGCATGTTTAAATATTAAGAAAAAAAAAATTGTTAAAATCACTGGCTTGCATGCCTTGTCAGTGAACCATTCCTTTTGTATAAAAAAAATTCTCAAATTTTAATTTTAATTACATGTTTACATACAGAAAAGGCATATGTGATTCCAGCCTCCCAGACAAAACACAATCTATTGCCAAATTTATAGATTCCTAAGAAGGCCAATTCATACAGTGCAAAGAACTTTCTGACAGAACCTCAGAAATGGTGGCCCAGCACTAAAATGATTGAACTCAAAATAACAGAACACTTTGCGTTAGTTTATAATGAACCACCCTTTATATGCTCTGGGATAAACACAAGAGCTGTAAGCATTCCAAATCAAAATAACAGCCTTACAAGAGCCATGAGATATTTGCAGCAATTTTCTTTGATGGTTGCATGGAAAGATGCTCACGAGACGTGCTGTACTTACGTCCAGTAAGCTATGGGCACTGTCGCTACTCTCTTTGTTTGTCCTACACATGGCCTGGTAGTCATAAAGTGTAATTCTACAGGGAAGAACAGAAAACTGCTTGACTAAAAGAAGAAAACACAGTGGAATAAAAATGGTGATATGGAACATTCTGCTCACAAAGTGGACAGGAAAATAAAAATTGTAACAGCTGGGGTGGGGAAGAGGGAATGGGATGGTTAAAATACAGGTTACAAGGAAGAGTGTAAAAAATGCTGTGAAAATTTTGTAAGGATTTTAGCAGACTACAGAACACAGCAAAAGCATAACTGGGAGGAACCAGGGAAGATATGCAGAGATTGTAACACACAATGGCATAAATGATGTGGGGAGGAGGAGAATACACATCCAACACAATGCTTAAACAATTGGTTCTGGACTAAGATCAGCACATTTAGCCCCAGAAAGTGAAAGAGCCTATGCATTTGAGAGGCTTCTCACAACAGACCACTCAAACTTCAGTAAAAGCAGAAACGCTCTTCTACAGTCTCAGCATCTCAGTGCACAACTGCTTTGAACATGGCATTGCTTCTGAAGGAGACAGAGGTGGAATTTCAGTGCATTGATAGTACAGATATTTGAAGCAGGATGGGTTTACCTTTGCTTCTTTTCTTGAAGGCAAAATATTCCAGGTACCTGCTGTAATCAACTTATGCTAGAAGCCTCCTCAGATGCATAGTAAACAGGGAAATTTACTTATGCTTTCAATCTTACTCATCATAGAAACACTTCAGAAATCTAAATTTAAAATCCAGAACTCAGATCTAGTACATTGAATCATTGTGATTATTTCTCTAAATCTGTCTGTCCATAGAACAATCAATTATCTTTTTCCATCCACATAAACAAAACATTTCAAATCTGTAGCAGATGTGAAGAATCTTTAACTGATAATTTGCAACAAGTGTAAATATATAGAACTCACTATTATTTGAAACATTTCCATTTGACTTGTGCATCATCAGAGGGACAAGGGAACACAACTGGATTAACAGAGATGGCTAATAGAGGTATGAGATGGGACTAAAATGTTTTGCAATGTGTGCCTTGCTTCTAAGTGAAGAGGAAAGAAGAGCACACAAATTCAGCTACACAGAGGATGTCCCAGAAGCTGCCAAAACCAGGTCATGAAATGCATTCAGCATCACCATGAGGTATCCTGCACTGCATGCCATGAAATCTTGCAAGCTGAACCAATAAAACATTGTATTCCATTGTGGTAGGGAGCATTTTTTTTTTTTTTTTCTGATCTAATTTTGTGAGAGCAATCATCACTAAAAGCTTCTTTATTATGTCTATATTTTCTTTCTGGTTTTACAGACAAAATGCCTACTATATTGGATGTCGCAGCTTCAACTAAACATTTAGCACATACTGCTTACATTATTGTTTTTCTCTTATGCTGAGAATAGAAATGCCTAGGAAGCCATTGTTGTGTGGACTGGCAGAGAGAGGCACATGGGAGACAAACGCATCACTAGAGACCTAAACATGGTGTGAGTCCAACACTGACCATCCTTGGCAGCATCCCGCCCACAGCCAGATCCGCGCACCCAGATCTGCCAAGACAAACAGAGCAGTACACGGTGTAAGCTGTGCTGCCTCTGTGGCATGCAGAAATACACCACTTCCCCTAGCTTCTCCCTTCCTTCCTCTTCAGCCTTTAACCGTGGTCAGGATCCAGCCCCTGGAAAGGAATTTCTAGAGCTCAGCCTTTCCAGCCTTATCCACTATTGTATTCCTTGGGATCCAAGCACGGTGGTGTTGTGTGTGCACCTGGACCACCCAGTGATGGAGGCAAGAGATAAATGCATAGAAGAGGGCAGTTTAGAGGTGCTAATGTGCTCTGTGCAGACTATCAAGAAATTCCATATGGCTTTCCATATGGATGAAGAGTCCCATCTTGCTTCATTTAATACCTAGCTTTAGAAGCAGAATATATTGTTTTGTCTGCATTTGTTGTACATGTTTTTTCAATATATTTATTAAGCTTGGTGACTGTTCCATTTTTGAAAGTGTAATCAATGTCTCAGCTTCCAGTTTCACACAGCAGAACTTCATGGTCAATCAGTGGACTGACTTCATTATTCTGCTAAGCAGCGTTAATCAACTACTATTATATATACTCTAGTATATATATATATGCACTGTTATACTATTCTAAACTATAAATAGAATATATATACTACTATAATGTCATGTGAAAGATCTATTATAATTTGAACTTAATTTTTGATATTGATAAAAGCCTTCCCTCCCTCAGTATTTGAACTTGGATTACATTTCTTATGTAATTATTGCATTCTGATAGAGTCAATAGTTTCTTTAAATGCTCAAAGATAAAAATGCATTAAAAGACTGAAATCTGTACTCCCACAAATAACCAGAAACATAATTAATACTGCACCCCAACATGCTAGGTTATATTTTTTGTAGATTGTCTTATTTTATTGTAGAGAGTATCCAGCAATCTAAGATTGCATTATGATTAAGGGAAAGAAAATAAATAAATGTACTTAAAACACTCTTCATTTAACAGGGAGAAAAATTAATAAATTTTAGAGTGATGGCAGAAGTAAAGAGTTTTAATGAACAACCTCAAAATCATGTGGATCACTACAGAACTTGGAAAGGCTTGATATAATCTGTGGATGATACTGGTTTTAGTTAAATGAGTTTAGTTTGAGTAAATATATTTGAATTTTCCAGTGTGAAGGATCTGGTTAAGGAAAAATGAGAAATCAGCTAATGTATTCAGGTTTCAAAAAAGGAAAAACAAAGAAAACAAAATGAGCAAGTGCTTAGAAAGGTGCTGTTTTCTCAAGAAAATTCTGGAACGAGCTTTGAATTTAAAACAATGCATTGCTGTCTCAGTAACTTCCAAAGTGGGCTGTTCAACACCTAGCTCAAAGTTTCTAAAGATGATTCAAACAATTATAGCACAGGATGTCCAAAATATATCAGTGAAAGCATTACTGCAAAATGTTCTTAAAAAACCTGGAAACAAATAAGAATTTTGTAGTGCACTTCAAAGATCAGTGCATGAAGCTGAAAACCACCTTGGAATCTGAACACTGCAACATACTGAACCAGTTCCTGATTCTGTGTCACTAGGAATTGTATTACATGGGTTCCAAGGCATTCACTACTTCAAATCCTGTTGTTTTAGTTTTCTTATAAATGTAATAGGAAAGCAAAAGCCTTCCAGCCCTATTCCTTATAAAAGGTATGAAAGCATTTGTAGCCCAAGCAGTTGCCTAGGATGCTGTAGTGTTCCTGTGCTCAGGTGTCATTGCCAGGGTGTTGTTTTACTGCTAAAGTCTTTCTGAGATTTTAGGAAATAGACTTTCTTTTCAGTCAGAAAGACTTAACCCAGTGTTGCAGAAGAAAGGCTTCCAGATTACCCTTTCTGAAGTGATTGTATTTCAGTTTTAAGTAACTGTTTGCAGCTGACCATGTTGTGTCCAACTGATCACAGTGAGGGAACACAACTTCCTAAGCCCAGCTGTGCCCAAATCCATGCTCTGTATCACAGCACCTCCCAGGGGAGCTCTGCTCTTGCTACAGAGGACATTCCTGAGACTTTCTGAAACCACCACACTGTCAACTTCCACATCTGAAGTCCACAGAGAAATTGTGCTCAGCATCAGCTATTTAGCACAACCTAAAAGTGCATTGTAAGTTTGTGTAACTTCAGCAGCCAAACACATCTTAGTGAAAACCCTTTTATTGTCAATTTCCTGATACAGTAAATTCCGCTCTCCTACTTTGCAATGTGCTTACAATTGAGCACTGAATCTGGTTCAAGAAAATTAAACTTCCAAGAACTACCAGCAGCACAGGATATATTGGCAGATGTACTCTCTATTTATTTCAGCCAGGTTTTCATCACACCCATGGATTTCTACTCGGTATAAATGGTGGTGGTATAAAATACCACCAATGACAATTGTAGCAGCTGAAAGGTCTTCAATGCATCAAATTTCAAATGTTTTTGTCAGCAGTTCAAGATTTGGTGGGTTTCAAATAATGTGTAGAAACAATGAGATTTTTACCATGGAAGTAAACATACAGTCTACAGGAAAAGAAAAATGCTTTAAAGAGCTGAACAAAGGAAGCCAATAGTACAGAAGCCCTAAATATTGACCCTATGCTTTATTCAGTAGTCTGTGGAAAAATTAGTGATGACTATAGCTAGATTGTGGTGGAAAGATGTTCATAACTCAGACCTAAGATGTGCAGCCTGTCTGGAATTCTCACAAGGAAGGGAAAGAGGGACAGTGCTGAATGGTGTGAAGAGCAAACCAGATTCTAACTGCAGAGAGGCTCCTGTGGGGAGACACCAGGACACCATAGGAAACCCCAGACTGTGGCTGCTCTGGCTCTCACACCTGCACTGACAGATTATTAGTGTCCAGAAGCTGCCAGGGTAATACCTTTCACCAAAATCAATGGAAAGAATAAAACTAAATTACAGCATTTTGGGAAAACAAACTTGTCATCATGTATTTTTGCTTTTATTGCTCAGCTATTCCCAATTGCCAATGTTCTCGAGGAATAACATGTATAAAAACTGCAACTCAGCCTGTATTTGCAGAATATGGAATGAGCATTTATGTAACAAATATGCCTGTGTTTCTCCTTAAGTGTGTAAATTGATTCTGTATATGAATACACTGCCTCAAAAGTAATATTTACAGAGACATAAAGTCAAACAATGCCTAAAACTCACACTAAAGACATTACTTTTAAATATCACAGGAATAAAATATGAGCAGAAAACATACCCCACAGCAATGTGGGAGTTTCGGTGTGCAGGTAGCAGATGCACATTTAGTAAATGCTGAAATAAAAAGTAAACCTTGTTGGCAATGACAATTTGTCCAATGCCAAATCCAACAACTGCAATTTGGAATGTTCCTTCAGTCTGTGTCTGATCTTCTCCAAAGCATACATGTACAATTTGCCCAATTAATAGGCAGCTAAATCCACGACTGCAAAAATCCACATGAAAATAAACACAAATTCTAAATGTGTCAATTTAGTACCAAAAGAAAAAAAATTAAGAATATCTAATAAAATGCTTACATATTAAATACTGGCCAAAATAGAAAAATAAACTTCATTTGGAAGCTGTGCTGCATCTGTGAAAGCTGTGTCCTGTTGTTAAGCAACCAGTTACTGTTCTCATGATTTGGCTTTAAGAATTTATTAAACTGCTTTCTAGGAGGAAAACAAAGTTCTGAATTTCTTTTATACTCATAACCTGGGGGCAAAATACTTGCTAAGTTTTTCTTATAAAGCAAATCAAGACAGATAGATGAAAGTCTGCCTCTTGGTGCACATGGAGAGCACAGGTGAAGGATCTACACTACAAGAAAAATTGGGAAAGAAGAGAAGCTCTCAGAGCAACAAGAACTCGATAGACTGAGCCTCAGCTCCTGGGAAAGCTGCACTTCAGTCATACATCCTGACAACCTGGTCAGATGCCAATATTGACAAATTACAAAATTACTAAATGCCAAATACCAATGCATAGACTCTTCTATGTAAGAAGACGCCTGCTGGAAAGAGAACTGTAAGAGGAAATGATGCTGCTTCCATATTTTTCATATAGATTTGCTTAGTTTTCCTCCAACTGGAAAGGGTGAAAGTGTTTGGAAGTCAAGAGATGTTTCATTTTCTCTTAGAGATTTATTATGCTTATTTCTTTAGGGATCTCATTACTTTGATAGCCCTTAATTTTCCTGATGTTAGTGTTGGTTTTTAGATTTTCATGGTTTGAGCTGTTGAATTTTTTTTCACTGTTTTTATATAAACAAAGTGCTGAGAAAAACATAAAGAAACTTTTCTAAGTTATGTGAAGCAGATACTTTTCCATAAGCACATCCTAATTTATTTAATAATACATTTAAATCATATTTAAATTATTTAACTCTGTGCAATACTTAAGGTAAAAGATAAACATAATTTTGCTAAATGAAATCATAGAGCATGTCACGTTGCTGTGCAGGCACTGATATAGTTTTTCTCCCTAATTATAAACCCCATAAACTAAGAAAATATACATACATACATATGCACACATTATTCAAAAGAAGTACTGAGTTTAAAGAAATTGAGGAGGGAAGGAGGTATTTAAGTTCACTTTAAAAAATAAACAGCGAACATAAAAATTGAATTTCATCCTGCTGCAGGTTGAAAAGAAATATAGTCAGCAGCAAACAACCCCCTTTTGTTTAGCACTTCCATCTCAATCCTACAAAGCACTTCTATATCACCCCAAATTTGCAGTAGCTGGGAGAACAGACAAAGAGTTATTTCATTCCTTTTGTGGGTGCAGAGCCTGGAAGGTGGCAGGTGTCACAAGGTGGGGGCACACACTGGCACTGCCCCTCGGACCTCTGCACTGCAGGAAGAGGGGACTGCCACCCCCACGGCTGCTGGGGCTGACAGCAAACTCTTCTGCAGAGCACACCAGGCTGCACAGAACCTCCTAAACTCACCCAAAAGGGAGCACAACCAGCTCAAGCAGGGCAGGGTTATAAAACCTACCTGCTGGACTGTAAATGCCATGTAAGAAGCAAATTGCAGGGAAGGATGCTCTGGGTATTATCAGAAGGAAAGGCAATGACAGAGCTCTCTCTCTGCTTTGCCCCCATGACAACAGGATGTGTGCAAGGCCCACTTTGTGCTCTCAGGGAAATGGCACTGCTGACAGATCTTGCCACTGAACTAAGCATCCTTCTTCTTCTCTTATTTCATATAACTAAATGTTGGAAAAGCAAAACACAATCTCCACCCAGACAAATTAATAATCTTACAAATATTGTGAATGCATCTGACTATTTATTGTGAGAACCACTTCATATTCTTGCAATAATTTATTTCTCTCCTAACACAACTCAAAGACAGTTTGTTGGGTTTTTTTTTTGCTGCTGCTATCTGCTGTAGGGGAAGTTGCTCACTTGCAATTACTCCACTTTGATTCTGTCCCATCTTTAACTGATTTGCAATGGTCAGTTTATCATGGCTGAATAATTGGCTCGTGGTGTTTACATTTTCCTTAGTATGCAGGTCAGTTACACTGACCTTATGCCTTCATTATCTCTAAAAATCAAGTCCAAAACCAGCAAAATCCTAACCAATGGTCCAGTTCAAAGATCCACCCACTGCATTTTAAAGGGAACTCTCAAGCTATGCCTGTTTTCTCAATGGTGGTACCCACCACTGTCAATAACTGGGTAGATGTTCTATTTGAAATGCTTTGTTGGGCAGGACTAAACAAATTGGGACAAGTTAAAACAGTATCCCTTTGTTTTGACTGCATTTTGTCCTTTGCATTAAATAAAATGCTTCATCTCTTGTACAAACAGATCCTTTCATTGCCAAATCCAGCCTATAAACAGTAGTATTACTTCACTTCCTTCTACAGCATATGTTAAATATGTAGCACAACATGCAAAAAAAGTTGCCACCCTCAGAAAACTAGGACTGGGGATGATTCCATGAGTGCTAGATGCTCACATTTCAGGTCAGTCATTTACTGGGAGGGGTACTCAGCTGCTGTGCACAGACACAGCACTGAAAGCTTCTGCCTTGAAGGGAGCTGATTTACCAAGCAAGCCCACAAACCAGCAGTTCAGAGAGGCTCTGTACACACCCTCTCAGGTAGTAACTAAACTCAGTAATGGATGGCAGCAGTGATACATCTTTTTATTCATACTAGAAATGCACAGGAAAATAAAAAGGAAAAGTATAAAAGCAGTTTTCTTCTGCTGAAGAGGACAAAGGGGTACAGAACAGCTCTTTGACCACATGAACAATTCTTACACCTCATGAAAGCCATGAAGATTCCAGTGGTGAGTTACAGGTTAAAGGGAAATTTCATTCTTTATTCCTCAGAGTGCATAATTCATTTCAAAGAACAACACATAAAATCACTGTTAGTTTTTAATGCCATCATGATAGTGAGACCAGGTCAATAGTCACAACCATGTTCAAAGGCAAGTTAGCATGTGAATGGAGATGGATTACTGGGATGTGTTCACATTTGCCCTTCAATAACAGGACATTTTGGACTGTCTAGCTCAAGAAATCTCCAACTTTTTACAGGTCAAAATGATAATGTGGCATAAATGTTTTGCTTTAGAGCTGTTTAAAATTGCTCAGTAGTGGATATGGCCCAATCCCTTTTCCACCTGAGCTCAGTGGGAAGAGGAAAAGGACACAGTTTTAGGACTGTAATCAAATAAAGCATTGTTTAATAAGAAACTCACAGTGGCTGACGCCAATACTCTCAATATTTGACGTTTATGGAGTCAAATTACACTCTGGTGGTACAGAAAAGATACAGAGCTATAGATGAGAATCCAGCCACACTGCCAGTCTTGGCTTTCTTTTACATGACTTCAATTTTTTTGTTAGAACATTTTTTAAGAGATAAAATGTTAATTCTTACCTCTTAAAAGAGCCCATTGTTAGTAACTTGTTCATGACAGCCCCTTCAACCTCCCCAAAAAAGTAACCAGTCTGTAAGGGGAAAATGCAAGGAATTACCAAAATGTGTAGATAAATGCAAAACAACACTGGATGCAATTTAAACTGGCATATTCTAGGATCTAGCAAGAGTGGCTTTGACAGCTACATAGACAGGTTTTCAGGACTGCTGCTACATAAAACCTGGAGAGGACTTTCCAGTCAGGGCAAGTTGTTGGGATTATATTATTACCCCCGAGCAGATGTGAGTGCTGAAACAATATACTGAGGTACATTATATAACATCCAATATCAAAAATAAAACCTTCCAAACCTAAAGCTTGTAAAGAAAGCACACTAATCTGATCACAAACTCTTGTGATTAAAATGTTACTCAAAAAAGATATAAACAGGTTGTGAGAGGATTTCATAAACAGTCATTAAAAAACATTGTTTATAATTCCTGTATGACCTGTTTAAGGAGCTGGAACAGTACATTTCATCAATCCTATAAATTTTAACTCCATTCAGAGTCATTTCATACTTAAAACCACTCAGCTTGATGAATTACTCATTTTGTCCCTATTCAGTACTTGTCGACTAATAAAAATAAATCTCTGTTGAGAAAACAAACATTGCTGTTATAAATTTGGTCAGCAAGATGGAAGTGACTCCGTCATCTGCAGCCATTCATGTGACAGTGGAAAATCTTGCAAGCACAGCACTTTTCTACCTTGGGAAGACCTGTTTTATTTTAGAGCCTCAGATCCCAGGAGGATTGGATATTTCTCTTCATTGTTTAAAGGGAGAAATCCCACAATTTATGAGGGGGAAAGGGCACTACACTCTCAAATTGCATGGATTCCACAGGTTTTGTATGAACTAAACCCCAATTCCATTACAAGGAACTTAGCTGACCTCAAGTATGCACCTGGGAGTTCGCAGGCAGAAAAGTTACAGCCCTAGCTAAAAAAAGGCATTCCTCCACCTAAAAAGCAAGTATTGCCTTCTTTTTTTTTCTCCTTTCCTTTCCTCAGGGGAACCTTGGAACATTTTCCAAAACATATGGGTATGTAAAGTCTCCTAGAAACACAAGGAACATGACTAAAAATACCAGCTTCAATAGCCCTGGCTGACTGATGAAGAAAGATTACCCTAACGATTGGAGAGGCAGGCAACATCAAGAAACTGCAAACCATAAATGCCTCATATAACCTTAGATAGCAATAAACCTGATTTGTCAAGTTGTGCACCAGTCTTATGAAGACATTTCTCTCCACAAAAGCTCCCTTTGTAAATGCCAGTTCTCCCCCAAGCAGTTACACTCAGGTTATCATTTTTTTAATACAGCAGGATTTAGTTGCAATTCAGAAGAATTACTCTGCCCCAAAAACCTGATTCTTCAGGTCATGTTTGGAAAGCTGATAGAAAAATAGTGCTGAAGCACCCCCAGATAGGTCAGGAACTGGTAAGACATCATCCCTTCTCTATCCACAATAGCCGGTATGCATGCTATATATAAAAAAGAGATATACACTAATGTAATCCTATTATAAATTTACACAAACACAGAGATTTCTCTGCTGTTCCTCTTAGACTTGGATACATTTAACTAATAAAACAGGTCAGAACACACTCCCAGCCTGCTTCTGGTGCAACTGTTGTCCAAACTATTCACAGGAATAGCAATGGCTTTTATCAGGTGACTACCAAAAGAAACACCTCTTCCTAATCATTGCTGGCCAAAGCCAGCTATGAACTGGCCAGTCACTGACACAAGTCACAGCTGTGCATCTGTAAATAGTAACAACAAAAGGGGAGGTAGACAAACAGGTTTCCAGTGTATCAAGATCATTCCACACTGAGTGTATTTCTTAGGTCATGCTCGTCATACCAAATTTAATTCAGCTGAGGGCTAAGTAGGAGTGTGGCTATTCCTATTCACAATCCCAACACATAAAAACAATTCAACTTCAGACAATTCTGGCATGACTGGGGCACCATCCCAGCAGTTTTGAGGCAAAAGTTAATGAGAATGGTGATGGTTCCTTCATAAGGTTTGCAGGATTGAGCAAAACATTCTGATTCTGTGATAATCATATTTCTTGTCCTCTGCATTGTGATGCTGAGTGCTTAGTTTTAATCCTTCAATGACTGTAATCCCCTTCAGAAAACAAACTCCTCAGCCAACAGCTTTGTAAAATCTCATTATCTGAAGTTTGAATGTAAAAGCTGTGTGTCCTCCCCTCCCTTCCCCACCTTTCCATGTGACAAAAATGGCACAGGGATTTTTTTCTTGGAGTAAAAGCCTCCTACAGAAGACAGATGCTTCTGCAGCAAGAAAGATCTTTAAAGAGAACAATTATGAGTTTAAGAACAGACCCTGCTCCAATGGGAGAAAGAAACTGAGCTCCAGTGAGAAAAAAGCTTACATTCTTTGTAGAAGCAATTTTTTTAATGTTGTTAATTCCTTACCATTTTCAGATGGTGGCCTATTTAAAAAAAAAAAAAAAAGTAAATTTAAATTAACATATTACATGAGAAGACTCAAGAAAAATCTTACACATACCTGTTGATAGTCTTCAGACACTAAAATAAATCCATTGTTATCTATTAGGTAACAGTTGATTGTCTGAAAAATAATAAAATACTATTTTAATTTTTGATTTTAGGACACAGCAATAAGATAATTATATACTTTACTTCTAAGTTAATTCTAAATGGGTAAAACCTTCAGGTTGTTATGTGGTTTTACATAAATTCAAAATGAGTGTAGTCTTGGTTATGGGAGATTATCCAATTTAATTTGTATGCCTTTTTCATGCAAAACTAAAGAAAGATGTGTCCAGAATGGGAGGATATAATATAATTACAAACAAACATAAACCCCAAAATCCTGTGGTTTTATAATCCCTCCTTAAAAGTTTTTCTTATAGCAAAGTTTGCAAAGGCACAGAACTTCAGTGCTCCTGATGGCTTCTCCTGTGTTTGGAGAAAAACATCAGCACAATGCCATTACCCTAACGATGTATTAATGAAAACACAGTGTCAGCCTGCAGAACCAACAGGAGACCAGGTAGTATTTTTTAATTTGTTCATTGGGGGATGGGACCAGAAACTTCTGTAAAAGAGGCCCCACAGGTCTCCTAAAGCATTCCAAATTGTATTTTTAATTGGGAACTGGGTTTAGAGGCAGGACTGTTAGCTTTTCGTAGGTCAGACGTCTGAACCGTATAAAACAAGGTAAAGCCAAATCAGAGCTTCCCTCCACACACACATGCACCACTTTAACCTCACATAATTACTTGCTACAGGCAAAGTTTTAATTACTGAACTTCAGAGTTTAAACATGAGGTTTAACTCAAACCCTGAAATCTTGATATAACTCAGTTTCTCCTCAGTATTGCCAAATACCTATCTCAGTGTTAAATCTTTATTGTATTTCTATTATTGGTTTAAATCAGCAACATTTTTATCTTTGCTTATTGAATTTTCCATGATATTTTTATAAAAGGGAAAAATAAGCAGAATGGCTTTCAATACAGGAATCCTCCTGGCTTTGTTTTTAATTCAAAACCTTTCCTGCAGCAAATGGGCTGTACAGAAATCTGACAAAATATGCTTTCTGCTAAAGCTGCACATCCAGCAAGATCACTGTGCTGTTTTAGGGAGGAAAGCAGCCCCGTGCAGTAGTGCTGTGCAAGATGTGAAAAAGCAGTCTGATCTTTCCAGAGATGCTCAGACGTGCCTGATTCTCATTCTGGCCACATATTAGCATTGTCCTGTGGGGCCAAAGAGGAGAAACTTGTAGAAATGCTAGCATGAAGTGGATTTAAAAAAAACAAAAACAGAAGCTGAAATCAGGCAAAAGTTCAGAATGAAGATCATGCCCTAATGACAACACAGGATATTCATTCTAAAAGGAGGACCCAAGCTGCAGGCAAGCCCAGGGACAGAAAACCTGTCAGAAAGGAAATCGAAACAACTCATTTTCAACCTGTGATCTGCTAGAAAGCCCAGAGCTGGCAAATACAATGTGAAAAGCTGATGGTGCTGGCCAGGAACTGAGCAGAGCTGATGCACTCAGAAGAGGCAGCTCCTCAAGCCCAGTGGTGTGTGAAGGATGGAATTTCAGAAGCAGGCTCTAACTGCACAGCTCTGCTCTCCCCAAAGCCAACCTGAAACCTCCCACTGAATGCACCAGGAGAGGAGCTAAGCCAACACAGAGATCTTCTGAGGATACATATCTGCAGTCCTCATGCATGAAAGATTAATCTAAAGATACTGCTTTAGAAACAATATTTCTCCATAGTATAGAAAATAAATAAAAGAAGTCATGCTGGACAAGAAAAAGTGTAGGCTTAATTTCATAGTTTATGGCTTATGTGCTGTTGGGAAAAGACTGGCTCAATTCAAGAATTAGTGGCCATGTCTCAAATCTCTAACATTTAGTTCACTAGCACAGTTCAGAACTTTAAAGGATACGAATATTCTAGCACTGTTATTGGAAACAGGCATAATGCAAGAAATGGAATCTATATTTTTTTGTGCAATGTGAATATAGGAGGGTTTCTGTTTCAATCTATTTTAGAAATATTAACTAGAGAAAAAAAATATTCATTCAGAACCATTAATTCACCACTTGCCAGCAAAATAAATAACTTTCAGTATTACTACTGTGTTAAAGAAACAGCTTGTAATTTAACTTTAGCGTGGACAAAGGGCAGCAGAATGCATTTACTCATTACTAGAAAATCTCAAACAGATTTCTGATCAAGTTTTATGCATGGGATAATAGCATTTGCATAGACTACAGCTGTATGAAAGGGCTCTAATTCACAGTGTTTCACAGGTATTGGAAGTGAACTATGCTCAGGTTTGCCCAAAGGTTCAAGTTCAGTGAATTTCAGATTTCAAGGGAATGTTCCATAGGTGGAGAGTCCCTGAGCTTGTAAAACTGTGGGCATGAAGTCCAGAATAAACACAGCAAGAATGTTAACTGAGGTCTGAGAACACATCTGAACTGCAGAAACTTTGATCCAGTTCAAGTCCTCTATGTATTTTTCACAGCTCCAGTATACAATAACAGTAATGGAATGTAACATGGGTTAGGAACCCAAAAATGAAAAAGAAAGAAAACAGAGCATGCAAATAAAATGTGAAAACAAGAATAAATGAGCAAATTCAAAGCTCTCAAGGAAAAAAAAAATAAATTAATAAGTTGTCTCTATTTTAGGATCAAAGGTATCACACACCCATCACTTGACTCCCTTTATTTTTAATTATACTTGCAATTATCATGTTATTAATAGTCATTAATATTTGTTGACTATTGTGCCATTCAATTTGCATTATTGTCTTCATGTTTACTTTTAAATGCTTTAATTTATACTGTAAATGTTCAGCAGATATTTTCTTGCCATTGAGAGAAGCTATGAAAGTCAACAGACTCAGCAGAGGAGCTGTGATATTTGTTTGAATTCTAACAACAGTGTGTTTTTTCATTAAGAAAAAGTCTGGAGTCTCTAAATCAGCAATGTCCACATTATTACTAAATTTCTACATATGGTTATATGGTTCCTGCTGGTGTACAGCTGAAGAATTTAAACTGCAAGTGGCTTTTTTTTTTTCATTAACAATAAAGTGGTAAACAAATGTGTTAGCACTGCTTCAAATTATTTCCCAAACTGGATTTACAAAGCAGAAATTATTGCAACACATATTTGAGGTACTGGAGTCAGCTTGTAATTCAGTGGGTACCTGTCACAGGCATAAAAAAATCTCACTATCCAAATAGGGTAATATTTACAAGGTGATAAAGACCATAATGTAGAATGAGATGTTCAAATTAAATTCATCAATTTGTATCCAGTATCTTCTGGAGCAGAGGTATGCAATGGAAAAAATGTGTTAAATACTTACTTCATCATCACAACTTATAGCACATCTGCCATCAAGAGATGCACACTAAAGATGATATAAAAAAAAATCAATAAAGTATTTTCAATTCTCTCTTTGAAGATTACAAAATAAAATTTTATACAAATTCATATGAGCAAAATTTTGAAGAAGTTGATATTGATTACATCTTTATCTAAATTAATTCTAAAAATTACTAGCAAACTTTTGAATTTTTCACCAAATGTGTTCTGTTCCTCTCTGCAGAGAAAGGATTCATTCACACTGTAGCAATTTCAGCTGCCTTAAACACCACAATCTCCAAACTCTAAATCTTTGAGGCCATTCATAGATGAGAGAAGATTCTCCAGCAGGGGTAGGATCAGGGTTTATTTTCTGTAACAGCACAGTTCCAATCAATCCTCAAACCAGGGATGGCATCTCCTAATCCTCAGAAAGTACCTGATTATCCTCTTCAGTGAGTACAATTCTATCCCTGGATAGTTTAGATAAAGTTTATTGAGCACTGTGAGTGCCAACCATGATCAGTAATAGAGTTTTGTTAATTAACCTGTGTGATGTTACATAGTGTTAGAGAGCAAACCTAGGTGAGAAGTCACAATTCTGCTATCACTAGAAACAAATTCCATACTTTTGTTTACTGTTTACTCTTTCTCTAAGAGAGAAAAACCACGTGCCAACAAAGGCAACTCCTTATGTATTGGAGCCTAAAATTAATAAACCTTCAAATTGCTTCCAAAAATCAAGCAACTGCTCTCCATCACTGAATTCTCCTGTTCTGTATCCAAATGTAAAACCAGAACAAGTCTTCAAATACATTGTTTCTTTAGAATAGTTTGCTTGTGAAAAATCATCACTTCCACAGTTATAAAACTGTTGTGGATTCAATAACAAAAAACCTTCAATTTAAAATATACCTGTCTGCTTGCAGTCCAGAATTTCCGCTGAAAAAATTCAAGTTTCATCTGGATACCTACAGCTGGGAAAGACAAAAATAAATAAATAAATATAGCATGCTTAATTCCTTCAAAATGATTCTTTAAAATTATTCAGGAAGAAAAGGTTTCATTATGAAAAGAGAAAGTTAAGCCTTAAAATGAAAAAAAAACCCACAACAAATTAAGTTGAAGACACCACACAGTCATATTTTAAATAATTTAAACTGAAAGGTGCTTCATAATGTGAATAACATACATAAAAAAAAAAAACAAACAAAAAACCACAAAGAATTAAGTTGAAGAGACCACACGGTCATATTTTAAAAAATTTAAACTGCAAGATGCTTCATAATGTGAATAACATACATGGCAGATAAAAAAAAATCATTCAGATTGCATGTTTCCATAATTAACACCAAAGAACCACAAGCTGAACATATTTATGTTCACACCAATTTCATTCATATTTCACTGGTACCAATATAACAGCTGTAGGGAACCCACACAATGTGTTTTCTACTGAAACTTAAGAAGATTTGCCGAAACAACATGAAAATATTGGTTAACAACTCAAGTGATTATTTGTTTTGAGGTCACTTAATCCATAAATTATCAGTGGAACACAAAAAGCATTAAAAATGTATTTGAAAAAAATGGAAGTTAAGAGTATTATGTGTAATTCTGTAAAAGGGAAGTATCTGACAATTCTTATTTGCTATCAATTTTTTTAAAAAATTATATTAATGAGAATGGATTGCAATTTTAAAAGTGATTATTTGTTTTGAGGTCACTTAATCCATAAATTATCAGTGGAACACAAAAGCATTTAAAATGTATTTGAAAGAATGGAATTAAGAGTATTATGTGTAATTCTGTAAAAGAGAAGTATCTGACAAATCTTACTTGCTATCAAATTTTAAAAAAAAATTATATCAATGAGAATGGATTGTGATTTTTAAAAATCATTATTCAAGATACTACTGGTTTAAATTATATGTTTCTCATAATCTCAGGTGGGATTGTGTTTTGCCAAATATCAGTAACCTCTCTTCCAGCCTGGTCTGATGTTTCTATCACTGTTCCTATTGGAGAGCAATATAAAGCACTGAGGTTTGCAGAAGCTCCAAAAGCAGTTGATTCTTCTGGTTTCACTTGCCTAAACTCAGAGAATTCAAAGAAGCTTTAAAAGTCTAAAGATCTAACTCCTAGAAAATTAATGGTGTTTTTAAAAAAAAAAACAAAAAAAACCCAAAAACAAGGCCTCAGAAAAAAATTGTTTTGGAAAACTGAATGAAATTTCATTTATTCATTCCTTCTTTAGGGCCTACAGCAGGAAATATTTAAAAACATATTTACATTTAGATTACTGGTACTTGCTTTTGCAAATGCACACACACTGATGTCATGCACATATTTGATTTTGTGTTAGCAGGTAGGAAAAAGTATGTGAAATGAAATCTGTAATGGACTGATACAATAGGATGTGAAATTACATAAAGAATTTTCCTATGAGAACAGTTTATAAATATTTTTCTGCTATCTGCAGCTCAGGGATGGTTTTGTTTCAGACAGTAAGTAGAGAAATCCACTTCTCCTTTTGAACAACACCAGACGAGACTCTCCAGCTACATTTTATTATCTAGGAATTTATGTCATGGTCCATGAGAAGATGCATTCTGACAGCCAAGCAGCACATTTACTTCATCTATTGCTTGCAATTGCATTAATTCTTAGCACATCCGACCTGATTTTTTCTGAAATACAAGCAAAGAACACACACACACACTTTCAGGAACTTTCCCCAAGGCAATTCCATCACTTCTGGATGCTGTGTCAGCATGGGAAGGTCAATCTCGTGAGCTTGCAGCAGGCAGAGCTCTGTGGACTGTACTCAGATATTGCTCATTTAAGGTCCTGATAAGCTCAGCCCTTTGGAGTTCACATTGTTAGAGATACCAGCGCCCAGAAAACTGCTCTTGAAAAGTGTTAATGAAAGGTAATGGAAGTATAATAAACATTAATTAAAGAGGTAAAACTCTTGTTCTCCCCTAATGAAATTATATGCATATACAAATTTGAGCAGGATTTTGGACTAAATGTGCTCAGGAGATCCCTCCCACTCTAAATTATCTTATTATTCTGATTTAAGTGTACAAGTTTTGTAAAAAAGTGATAACTTTACAGCTCAGAACCTTCTTTACAAAAAGAGTCAATATGCACAGAGAATTTTCTGTGTCCTGTACAAAACCTACCACACAATAGAATCTGAAACAGTGACAAGAGAATTACAGCAAAGCTCATCTGTAAAAGGTTCCACATGCATGTTTCACTGAGTCACAATGGAATGCTGCAGCATAACAACAATTGAAATGCTGGGATTAATTTCTATGAAATGCAGAGCATCCCTCTTCATGGGGATGAGAAGGGGCAGCTGCAGGTTTAGTTTCATAGAAGCAACTCAAAGATTTTGATGCAGACTGTGAGGGAAAATAAAAGAGAGTGAGAAACATTGGGGTTGCTCCCACTTGAGCAGATTTCACAATTTCTGCTGTAGGGTAATTTGGGCAGAAACTGAAGATATAGGCATTATCAATTTAGCTAATGCCTGCCTTTAAAAAAGGAATCAGTTTATTTCTCTACCTAACTTCAAAAAGAGTTGCATCACTAATCTCTGAGGTACAATGCCATTAAAGAGGGTAAAACAGAAACCATCCACTCTGGTCAAGGTAATACAGCATTACAACAGCAACATTTTAACATATTTCCCTTGTGAAGTAACCTCAATTAGTTTTGAAATCCTTTGGCTTGGTATTAAATAATGAATTACTCCATGATGTCAAGTACATGATGGCTGGACTTGATTTACAGTTGGGCTTGATGATCCAAAGGGTGTTTTCCCATTATATGATTCTATGATGTCTACTAGTGCTTGCAGGGTAGGAGGAGAGAACACATCTCACAAACATGGCATGGGGAAAGCAGCATTAGCCAGATCTTTTGAGAGGTCTATCTTAATATGAGATTTTAATCTCACAGTTCTGTCTTATTTACACATTGTTCCCTGTACAATTCTCACAGGAACTTCCCTGTCACAGCTTCTAAATATTCTATATCCTACGTAATATAAACGAAAATTAGTAATAGACTAAAATTCAGCTGAAAATTATTTGAATGCCTCCAGATTTGAATGAATTAACAGTGTTAAGGTATAGGAAAATTATTTTCTTTTCAAACCCTCATGTGACACTAAACCACTTCTGCAGGTTTTTCCCTCCTGAGTTTTCAAGAACTTTGAGACTAGAAGATGACATTTTTTTTGTCTGGTCATTTAATGCCATAAAAGCTATGCAAATATACTTCAAAAGGTTTTGAGCCATTATATTCTCCTGAGCAAGCCCTAATCCTTCAGCACTTGAGAACTTCTGAATAAAATATCTGTGCTCCAAACCACCATTAAATCTGTGTTTTACAAACTGGCTACATGAGGGGGGAAAGGAAACAGGAAAACTTCAAAATTATATCTCATTTGCAGGCTTGGTTCAACCAAAATGGCCAAAAGATAAAAATTGTTCAGCCAGTAAAAAAGGAGTTCTGTGCTCACTGCTGCCTTTTCTCCAGTGTCACAGAGGAGGGTGGGCTGAGCTGAGGGCAGGCAGGAGAACAGTTGATGGGGGCTGAGAGAGGGGTATTTTGTGTTATGCAACACAAAATGTATCGTTTCAAACAAATATTGCAAATCCAATCTTTTCTTTTAGTCACATTAGCAAATTTACTCAGGTGATGCAAATAAAAACCTTTAATTCTGCCTACAGAAAACAGTTCTTTAACTCCCTGAGATTTCTTCTCTCTGTTTTATAAAGTGGCTGCTATTTTTGTAGTGCAGACCCTATGAAATAACAGATGGCTGAGAAGGACAAAGTTAAATTCTTGGCTCAGTGATAATTATTGTTAAATAAGTAATTTCCTTGTGCATCGATTCCATGGCTGAAGGTAATATTTCACCCTCTCAGTGGGTTGCTCTCAGGATGGAAGCACTGGGAAGTGCTCAAATGCTGCATGGCTCAGGGCTGCTTAGTATCAAGGCAAACATGAAGAAAAACAAATAACTACTCAGAACAGATCAGGATTGCTTGGGTTCCTTTCAATGTCTGTGGTTAAGCAAATAGACAGGAAGATAAGGAAATCCTTCCCTAGCAAATTACTTCTGTGCAAAGAATTAGAATCCTTCTTAGGTTCTAAGTAAAAAGAATAATTTCCTACTTAAAATACAAGAGGAAAATAGATTAGACTGATTTATTTCAGGCAAGAGAGGAGCTGAGTCTCCCTACAAACCTGACAAATGGATTCCAAATACATGATTATAGGAAAAAGTAATAAAAGCTAAAGGGATTTCCATTCTCTGAAATACCTATATGCTATAACACTGTATATAAGCACCAGATCAGCAAGGTTACAAAAATATCTTAAGGTCTCCATTCCTTTTCCCACAGAATACAGTAGAGATTAAGAGTCTCTCTCATACATAAAAGATGTCTAAAATCTTAAGGACATTTTGGCCTCCTATTTCTCATGGAATTATCTTAAATGAGGTTTAACTTGGCTTCAAAATAAAAAATGTTGGACACAGACTTGTAGCAGGATTATTTTTCAATCTGTATCACCTTTGTGTATTGAGCTTAGGCTATTTAAAATGCTCTTCTTTCTCCCTACTAGTTTAACTCTGATTATCATCTTTTAAAATATCTAATAACTACATGTGAAATATTCCAGAACATACTTAAATACTTTCAAAAATGTTGGTTTCCCTTCTATTTATACTCTAAATCTGTTTCCGTTAAAAATCTATCTTCAGCATTTAGCTCAGGAAAAGAAGGAGAAACTCTACAGCCCAGTGCTCAATCCCAGGAAATAAACACCATAAGTGCCAATACAGATTAATATAAGACTCCCAATTATCACTAAAGATGATTAAAAACTTTGTAAGACATAGGTGTTTTATTTAGAATAGTTAAAAATAAAATCTAGATAGCTTTCTCCCCTC